CCTCACCCCCCAATATAGTGAAACCCTTATTTTTGCCACTTCAGACATTGTAAAAAAATAATTAAGAAGAAGAAGAGAGAAGTATGAACGTAAGTTTGAAATAAAGTATTGAATGATTTTTTATAAAATTGAAACGCCTTTAAATAAGGCAAGTCCGACGTTGGGGTGTAGAATTTTTCTATGTAAAATGCAGTACAATGCTACGTTTTATATATTGAATTATTGTTATGTCAGTTCATTATACTTTGGGGCAAAAACCAGAGTACAACACAATTATTTAATGTAAAACGCATTATTATACTGTGTTTTACAAATGTATCTTAGTAAAACGCAGTATAGTACTGCGAATTACAAAAAAAAATAATTTTTTAAGTAAAACGCATTACTATGCTGCATTTTACTTATTTATGTAACTTTTTTTTAAAGTAGTGCGTTTTTGTCCAAAAAAAAAATGATTAAAAAAGTTTCGGACTGCTATAACTTATATAAGAAGTACATAATTAATAAAACAGAGAAAAGGACTTGTTCATCGGAGTGAGAGAAAAACAAAAAGGTTGTTGTTGGGATCCCATCTTCCTCAACTTCCAATCTCAATTTCCTTTTTCTTCCTCCACCCACCCCCACCACCGACACCGCCACGTCGCCGCCGTTGACGATACTAATTTCCACTGTATAATTTTCAAAATATATCAAAAATGTCGATCAACATGAAAACTCTAACCCAAGCCTTCGCCAAAGCCTCAGCGGTGATCGAAAAAACCGTTCAAACCACCGTTCAAGAAGTCACCGGTTTACCCAGAGCTTTACAAGACTACGATCTCTTAGATCAGATCGGGTCAGCTGGGCCGGGCCTAGCTTGGAAGTTGTACTCAGCCAAGGCCCGAGACGGCCATGCGGTGTACCCGAACGTCTGCGTTTGGCTTCTCGATAAGCGGGCCCTCTCTGAGGCGCGACAACGGGCCGGACTTTCTAAGACTGCTGAAGACTCGTTTTTTGATGTTATTCGGGCTGATGCGGCCCGTTTGGTGAGGTTGAGGCATCCTGGGGTTGTTCATGTAGTGCAGGCACTTGATGAGAGTAAGAATGCTATGGCTATGGTTACTGAACCCTTGTTTGCTTCTGCTGCTAATGCTTTGGGGGATTTGGAGAATATTGAGAAAGTTCCTAAGGAGCTTAAAGGAATGGTAATTGTGTTATTCTGAGTATCTCTTAGATAAATGTGTAATTAACTGCAAATTTCATTGAATTTTTCGTGCAAAGTTCGAAATTTTACGCGTTTATGATAATTTTGAGCTGGTTCAAGTGTGTGATTTTGTTTTTTGAGTTAGTTACATTCTGCTTGGGTAATTAGTATATTGATGCTAATTTGTATTTTTTGTGTCATTTATTACTAGATGGTTCACTTTTAGTTAATTAGAAGATAGCTTGCTTTGGATTTATGTGTGCAATTTACTTATGTAATTAGATGTGAGGTTGCCTCCGATAGCTACTGCCTACTAGGGAGGATTTGTATTAGACCAAAAGTTCGGATTTACTATCTTAAATAGTTAGATGTAAGATTGACAGCGAAAGCTATTACAGACACATTTTACTAGAAAGGGTTTACCTTGCTTGTCGGAGGTCCAAAATTTTGTTTTGGCTATTGAATCTTTCATGGGAAGTTTGAATTTTTTTTTTGGGTGTTTTTGATGATCTTGAGGTGGTTCTTTGAGTTACATTGTGGTTGTCTAACGTAAAAGAAAGAAAAAGTGAAGATAATAAGTGGGTTATTAGTATAGATTTTGGAGTTATAGTAATGTGATGATAACTACTACCTCTCAACTAGTTTGGAATTGATGTGTAGTTAATTGACCAATTGAACATGATGGTAACCCTGTGTCATTTCCTATATAAATATTTTTGCACTTTTTAGTTTATGTGTGCGATTTACCAACTTAAAGTTTGATGTAGATTGATTCAAATGCTATACAGGATGGTTTACATTAGACAAAATGTTTAGATTTATTAACTGAAGTAGTTAGATTTCAGATTTACCCCGAAAGCTAGGGATGGTTTGTATTAGACCAAAAGGTTTAGACACTTAAATAGTTACTTGTAAGATTTACTTTGAAAGCTGCTAGAAAAAAAATCTACTAGGGATGGGTTGCATTAGACCAAAAGATTTTTCTTATCTGACGTTTATAAAATCTTAATATTGGATTTAAAGGCACCTAATTTCTGTCTAGCTGGATAATAGCTTTTGCAGCACGGCATCTCTTTTGAAAGAATCCCACTGTCTAAAGCTAGACTAGAAGCTGGTCATAGTTAAAATTGCTTGGAGACATTTGGTGAATAGAAGGGAAGCATTTTACTTATTAAAAAAAAAGTTGGTTAAAAAACAGTGTACTTCATGGTAGTATCTATAAAGAACACGTATTGGCATGAACACATGATATGCATTTTCATCCTGTGTGCATGGTTATCACAATAGCATATGATAAATTCAGATGTTGGAGTTAACACCGATGTGGAAATTCCTCATAATCATCTTCACCACAGCTTGTTGTTATCTCCCACGGACAAGGAAGCTCTTGTTGGTGGCAAAATGAGAAAGAGACGGATTTCAGGAATCTAGAGTGTGGTCGGAGACATAACTCACTATAGGTATAAGCATGTGATTTCGGGACCACTTAATTTTCCTTAAGAAATTATTAGTATTGGAATGACTTGTCCCGAATTGAGCATAATGAACGTAGAGGATTCATATAACTGGCCTCGATTAGTTTGGGATTGAGCGAAGTTGATGTGTACTCTTGAAGAGTGTGACACGATCGGGAGAGGGATGGGCTAGAGAATGATGACTTTGTTATATTTTTTAGGATTTGGGTTACATTGTAGAAGGTGTCTATGTCTGGTTGCACAAGCCAACTCAATTAAGAGATTATATTGCAATCATGCTATAGGCATTCCTTTTTTAAGTAAAAGAGGTATTGTATTGTCATTGGGCACCATGGGGATGCTAACTTCGTAGCAACAAAATCTGTAGTCTAATGTTACACCTGTTTGGCATCAACTATGCCCTGGAATGTAGAGCAGCTCGTGTTGAGCTGCAAATACAGAGTGACCCGGCTATGGAGCATGGGGAATCTCGTTGTAATGTGAACCTCATAGAAGGAAAAGAAAATTCAATTTTGACCCTGCTTTTTCCCTTTTCCATATATTTTTGAAGTGCACATGTCACTCCTGCTTGTACGGACGTCAGGATGGGTTTTCTAGAGAATTATAGATTGTAGAGCTTTTTCTTATCAATCTTTTGTATATAGGCGTCACCTTTTGCTAGTAAATGTTCATTTCCTTATGTCAAATGAACAAGAATATACTTAAGGATTTTTTTATCAACCCTCTGGGACATGGAAAAGAACAATTATTGCTCTTTTTGTCCCAATTTATATGTCAGACTTTTGTTTTAGTCTGTCCAAAAAAAATGTCACCTTTCTATGTTTAGAAATACGTTAACTTTAAAATTCCAATTTTACCCTTAACATTATGGCCACACAAATATCTAAAACTTTGTTTTAGATCACAATTTTCAAAAGTCTTCGTTTTTTCCTTAAACTCCATGCCTAGTCAAATGATGCCACATAAATTGGGAGGAGGGGGAAGAAATTTTGTTTATCGGACTCACTAACATAGTGGTATATTGCTACTCTTTCTCCCCATTTTTCTTATTGTCTTTTGTCTCCCTCTTCTTTCTTTCTTCCTCCTCTTTCTTCTTCTTCCTCTTCTTCTTCTTCCGTTTTCTTCCTTGCCACCTTTTCTTGAGCCGAGAGTCTATCGGAAACAGCCTCTCTATCTCTCCGGGTAAGGATAAGGTCTGCATACACATTACCCTCCCCAGACCCACCTATGGGATTATACTGGGTTTCTTGTTGTTGTTGTACTAACATAGTAGTATTATACAAAACATTAAACCACATTTGAAGCTCTCACCTCGTAAAAAAACATGTTTGAGGCTCTCAATAATTCTGCTATACATAAAACCAAATAGTTCTAAAGTATCTGGAAGGGGAGATAAAACAAGCAAGTGGTGTTTGGAGTAGATGGTCTGTTGCAGCAATTGCCTCATGTTGGGAAGCCTAAGCTTCTGATAGGTGACTGTATTAATAATCTCATCTTTCCAAATTCATGCATTTTTTGAGTGATATTTACCCAGGACATTGCCTTTTTTTAGTGTAATCATCTTAAATCTATAAACGGGAGAAAGGACAATAGAGTTTCAATACAGCCATGAAGCAGAGATGCACTTGTTGTCATTAGGGAAGCTACTCCTTATTGCTGAAATTTCCCATAGTAAAACTAAAACAGCATTAAATCTAAGACAAAAATAAGATGCTTAAAACAGAGAGTGCAAGCCGAGAAACAACTTTTACTTCGATTGTTGTCTCATCTTTCGGTGCTTCATCGCACATACATAATGTTTATTTGCAAATTAAGATTTTTAAGAAACACTGATACATTTTTGTAATAAAAGATGCAAACTATTATCTTGTGTTTTTCCCGATTTGGCAGTAGGTTAGCACTTGGTGATACTTGATACTCTGCTGATGAGATCTCGCTTTGCAGGAAATGGGATTGCTTGAGGTTAAACATGGTCTGCTCCAAATTGCAGAAACCTTGGATTTCCTCCACGGCAATGCTCGTCTAATTCATCGGTCTATATCACCGGAGGTATTTATTTTTGTTTTTCCATTTTCTTAACTATTTACGTTATTACCTTTGTGTGGGTGAGGCATTGTTATCATGCATATAATTTATATGATACCTTCCATTTCTCAGCCGATGATTGCCCTTGTTTTGATTTATATAGGTTTACAGTACATCTAATATGGTTATAGAGACGAATGAGGTAGTGAGACCGTTGCCAAATATATCCATTATCTTTTTTCTTTCTTCACCCTCATATCTGGAGTAAAAAGTGAGAATTGTTCTTATGGGCTTGGTTTCATTTGAAGTAGAGTGTTTATTTGATGTTTGGTGCACTAAGAAGAGGAGGAAAGAAGCTTATCCTAAAGCTTGTATTCATGATCATTTCATATTACCCCTGTCTTGAATTGTTAATTGTTCATTATAATGCTCTTCTCCTTGTCCCTCTTCCTCTTCTACAATTCACTATATCTTCACAGCTAATTTTTAAGATGTTAGTATATTTCTAGTGATTAAGTGTGCCACATTGGTTTAGGAAAGAAAAAGTCAAGGCCATATTATGTTTGTTAAACACTGATAAGAAATATATTAGTAAGTTATGTAGCTTGTGATTACCCGGCAGAAGTAGAGGTGGGTTACCTGGGAGTTGGGGCTGCTTGCTAATGAAGAACAGGTGATGCTGTGTTGTGCATTTAAGTAAAACGGTGCGTTGCGTTTCAAGAAGTAACTTGTCGGACTGCTGGCGATAAGAGTTGGATTATAATGGTAGAGTTTGTTTTTAGCAATTTTTGCGAAATAAACTATGGTGTTGATGACTGCGTTGGAGGCTAATGGAGGTATATTGGAATTTCTAGCAGAGTTATGTGGAGGCTTACCATAAATGTTAGTGCTACTCTTTTATTCTTTTAAAGGAATATCATAGTCTAGTTCTCTTATTTGATCGTGCCTGCTGGTGGAGAATGGGTTCTTGCATATGCAACTGCAAGTTTGTCAAACGAAAATGAGTTTTGAGTTTTTTCCTGAGGAAGTCTATCTTTGCTTGATAGGTGTAGGATACCTCCAGGATATGCTGGTCAAAATGTGCTAATTTTGCCCATGCATGTGAGATATAGATTATGGCTGTGTTTGCTTGAGAGAAATTCCTAAGGTTACTGCTTATTGCAAAGAAAAGAAAAAAAAATAGGTAGGATAATATGAAGGTTCTTGATAGGAATTGTCCTTTAATATGCTTCTTTATCTTCCAAGAGCAAGATCAGGTAGCTACTTGGCACAGCTGTTAGGTTGATATCATTTATGAAGATGTCACAGTTATGTCTTGGTACACCTGGAAAATGATAGGTTATTACTCCTTCTGTTGTTATACAAAGTTGTTCTTTTTTTAAGGAAAACCATTTGGAGTATATACCTTGTGTCGGGATGTGAAATAGAAAATTGATTTTCCATGCTAATTACTTTTGCAGACTATTCTCATCACTTCAAATGGAGCTTGGAAACTTGGTGGTTTTGGTTTTGCCATTTCAGTGGATCAAGCAGCCGATTTGTCCAACATGCAGGCTTTCCATTATGCTGTAAGTAAATAATTCTAAGAGCTTGGAACTCATATTTTATTTGCCTTGAATTTTAGTGTGCATCTGAACTTGCTTTTCTTAGTTCACTTGTTCAAATTCCTGTGTGTTGCAAAGCATACCATTGATGCAGCTGTGAACATGGAAATGATACTGTCTATACTGTTGACCGCTCCTAAGAGGTTGCTTATGGAATCATCTATGAATTTGACTATGATGCTCTTGGTGTTCATAAAATTTTTGCCAGGGATTTTCGAAGTTAAATGCGAACAACATGGGGCTTAGCACGTAGTTCATTTTCTTCCAAGTCATTTTATATTTGTCATGTGCTGATGTGCTCCTTTCTATGTACATTGTTATCAGGTCTTTTGTCATAGTAAATAGTGGCCTTAAGTTAGAGGATATGACTGATAAGCTTAATGCCACTATTATATTGCACACTGATCAAGTTGACATGGAATTTTCTTTTTTACCTAGCGATAAATAAAACAGATATGCTCTGACGTGCAGTAATTTAAGGCTTCTATGTGGATCTTTTTTAAAATAATATGTGCTGACAGTCTACTGTAACAGAAGGTCCATGTTTTATTTTATTACAGTGCAAAAAGGTATATGAATAGAGGACATAATAGAGTTTGTTAGTACTTTACTGGCTTAGCCTTGCATAAAACTTTTGTATATTAGCACGGTCAATGTGCTGCTTTATAGTAATAAAATTTATGTTGCTTATCCCCCNGGGAACGAAATTGTATCTTAGTCAAATGTAGTGGACCAGAAAAAAATTTACTTCTTATTATTTATGTACTATGAAAATACTGAAATGGACAGTTAAGTTAAAGGTTACAAGTCATTACAAGATGGCTTCTCTTTTGTATGTTTGTTAATTGTATATGAGCCAACGGGGAATATGCCTTTGACGTGGCATCCTGTTATTTGTTTTTTTGCCTAAGTGGGTCAAACATTTTTTAGACTGCAAATACATGAATGGAGTTAATCCAAAATATAATATGAAATGATATTTCCACATAATTTGAAGTTGTGCAATTGAATATCTCTCTTTTTGTGTCTTTTTCTCCTTTCACTTGTTATCACTTACAGTTGATGTTGTTTTTTCCTATTGAACTTTACTGATAAGTCTAGACATTTCATTGATATCACACCACAATCTTGTCAAACCTGTTTACGAAATAATTGAGTGGCTCAACCACCATAATCTATCAAAATATCCCTATCCCCTACGCACTGGTATTCTTTATTTACACCAAAAAGTATTATAAAATATAAAATATTTTTTAAAACATTATGTCCATGACATACCTTATCAAAAATAATGTTCATGACATAATTTTCTCATGTTCCGAATAGTCCAAAGAATACATGGTAGAGTGTTCCATGCTGCCTTGTTCACGTTGCCTATCCTTTTTATACTCCAACTGGTGATTGTCTTTGTCGCTGTCCTCGGTATAACTCCAGGTAGATAATGCAAATCTTTACTTCTTTTCTTTCAATCGAATACCAATTATTTGGATGGGTCTAAAAGCGCCGAGATAAACTGATCTTACCTTATAAAAAAAGGCCTCGAGATAATCTTCAGAATATATTATCAATTACAACTGTGTTGTGAGTCTGTCCTTACCCCCAAAGAGAATGTGTTGCGAGTCCGGAGTGTAATAAGATATGATCAGTAACTTTCCGCCACCTCTCTACACAAGCAACACTAACTCTCCACCAACCTTCTCTTCTTTCTGAAATTATGGTGTTAATAGTGTCTGGCATCACACACCATGTAAAGAAAGCTACTTTTTTACATGCTCTTGGTATGCCAGAATTACCGTCACACCTTTCCCCTCTTTAGTCTTCTATCATGGGAATACAACAACAACAACAACCCAGTGTAATCCCACAAGTGGGGTCTGGGGAGGGTAATATGTA